CAACCACCACAACAAAAAAACCTGTAATATCCACATTTCCTAGATTTGAGAAAATATAATGTCCTTTATTGAAATAATGTAATGAAAGCTAAACTTTATTTACACAGTGAATGAGGGTACTTTTAGTTGTTGTTATTGTTCCTGGATGGCAAAACAGAACATGAGACATTTTCCTAAGAAAACAAAAATGTTTGATCACCTTTTCAGCTGATCCAGATTTTACACTTTTCCTGTAAATTATGAAAGAATTGGTCTCTAGTTCCTGGAAAATCTCCTCCTAAGTCAGGAATATGATTTTGTCCACTTTGGATACAAGGTGGAGTAAGAATCGTTGGTGGGTCTTTCCTTCACTTTCCTGTCACTTAGCTGGTTGGAGAGCTGAGACAGGGCTCATTTGTTTTCAGTCCCAGGGGCATTTATAGTCTCAGGCTGGGCCAAGGGTTGGTTTATATCATATTCCTCATGTGACTGTCCCTGTGTGATACACCACTTGACACCAGCCAGCAGTGGTACTCAGCCTTGTCCTCAGCCAACTGGAGACAACTGGGGGACTCTGCTTCAAACCTGAAATCTCTAACTTGGTATTGATTTTCATTGAGGTGGACTTAGTTTTGGCCACACTGGTCTCAGAGTGAGTAGCCTATGGAAAACTGTGGGAGAGGGTCAGAATTAGGGTGACAGAACCCTGCAGTGGCTCATGTGAGTAAAGGGTGATGATGGTTACAGGAACTTTTCACAGCCGTGAGGACATTGTGTATCCCCATTCCAAGAGAGTGATCAGTTTCCCAACTGTCTCCCTTGCATCCTCATCTCACAAATAATCTTGCAAAAACATATGTTGTGGAACAACTTGGACCCCTTATCTAATGGTCCACTCAATGGAGATATATTTTGGCCATATTTACACCAATTAAAGCTGCATAGTCTTGGCAATTCTACTCTCTGTCAGTATAATCCTGATTACTAACCTGAATTCAGCATCTTATGTCCATAGAGGCTAATCTCTTGGTCATGTATGTTTTTCACTGCATGTGTGGGCAATCACTCTGCATGTGCTCAGTGTCATTCCATTCCTAAAGTCAAGAAAATGTTACACTTTTGTATAAATCTGGTCAGGGTGGCAGAATGAAAGGTGAGGGGTTCAAGGTGATCTTAACCATACTCCTTGGAAGTATAGCAGGCATCAAGAAATTACATTTCATTGGGCAAACAAAGTCTTAAGCACACTTTAAGAAACCAAATATTATACTCTACCACTGAACAGGACTTTGATATGAGGAAACAGTGATACAATCTGCACACATTCAAGGTGAAGAGGCCTTTGTCCACATATCCACATCCAACCTGGACACCTTTATGGTGGTTCACCCCATCAATGTTCCTAACCACCAATCATTGAAAATGACTTCAATTTTCAGAGACCAGATTAAGAACGATTTGTGATTTATGATACAAATGATCCTGCCTGTTGAATTTACACAACTATCTCAGGTTAGTGGCTCTAATGGGAAGATTATAAAGCTTTTCCAGTGTGCTTTTCTTCACAGTTTGGCATCAGACCCAGAGGGAAAATGTAGCATGCACAAAACCTATTTTCACAGGTGGTGGGCATACAGAATGTTTTAGTAAACTTTTCATTACTATGACAAAATCCATGGCAAGAACAACTTAAAGGAGAAAAATTTATCTGGGCTTATGGTTTGAGAGGTCTCAGTCCATGGTCATTTGACTCCATTGTTCTGGGCATGAGGTGAGGTAGAACATCATGGTAGAAATGTGTGGTGAGGAGGAAAGCTGCACATCTCATGATATGCAGAAAGCAGAAAGATTGTGTGCATAAAAAGCCAGGAACAAGACAGAAGTGAATTATTTCCTCCAGCCACACCTCATCTCTTCCTGTTACCACTCAGTAGTGCCTTCAAATTATCAAGTCCAAAATTGGGTGTCATCATTTTTATAATATCATTACCTAATCAGGTCACCACTGAAAATTCCTACATTGTCTGACATGTGAACATTTGAGGAGACACTTCTATAGCCTCATTCAGGACACTTCCTGCTTAGAGCTCTGTATTCTTTTTATGTTCTTCAAGCATCTGTCCAGGGTGTCTCAAATCCACAAGGTAATAGGGGATAGTCTGACCTCTATGAATGTCCCTTGAATACATTTTAATAGGTTTTAGAATGAAAGAAACCTCTATGTGTGTGGGGGGAGTAGCACTTAGAACTTCTGATGTGCATTCCAAAAATATATATTTTTTTTATCTTAGCTGCTTCAGCCTTAACCCATTTTGTGCCCCTGAGTATATACAACAGGAAAGATGTCAGCCTAGTTCTTGACATCTGTGCATTCTTACTTAGATGTATCATTGTTTCCTTTGAAGATGGAGCATGTGTCACTTGTTGGGACATAACCACTGGGAACTTCACCTGAAACAAGATTGGGAAGGACACATCAAGTTGAAGTCACTCATTTAACTTATTGAACTCACTTATTCTCAGAGTGCTGATTTGGAGACTCCACAGGCATAACACAACAAAATGCTTTCTCAGGTATGTTTCCAAGAAGTTCTCATAGTTCCACAGGTAGAGACAGAATGCCACACCTTCCCCACCTGTCACAGCAGTGAGTACCCTGCAGGAGTAGCAATTATTGTCAGCACATGAATCTGACAACATTTTCTCCCAATGTTTCTTGTCATTGACTAAGTTGGGAGGTTTTCTGGAGGTAGAAAAGTACTGGCCACAGATGAAAAAAGGGTCAGGAGGAATAGAAAGTACTTTTTAATTAATTTTTATTTTGTATCTCATTATTAATGTAAATTTCTTTTATAAAATTTAATAAAATCATTAGTACTGGTTAAATAGATTAGGGTATATGATAATATGATAATATAAGACACAGGTACGCCTGAGCATCCCAGTACTGCTAATTGAAAGACATGGTGAGCCCTGGGTTCGGCCTTGCCCTGAGGGAAGTGGAGAAGGGGCCCCAGGATGTGGTGGGCAGGGAGTCAATGTTACGTGTCTGAATATTTCTACCCTTCTTACGTCTGGAAACTGGTGGGGCCTTTAGGAGTATTTATTTTCATAGTTTTGCTGCTTTACCTCTATTGAGTCTACTGAATTTAGATTGATGTCAATGGATGAGAGCTAATGTGGCTTGTAATGGGGGGATGCAGGGAACAGTCTATGGAGAAGGCACATCTCAAATAAAGCTTAGAATAAGATTCCTCCCAATAATCATTAAATCTATTAACCAGTTATCTTCTATCTTCTCTCTACCCATCCCCATTCAAAAACTGGACATGGCAGAAGAGCACAAGGTTTCAGGAGCCTAGCACCATGAGAGAACAAGCAGAGAGGTAGCTTGGGAGATGCTGCTTGACTGGGTGAGAGCTTCCTTTGGGGTATGATTTTTATTTCTATAGTTCAAAAAGATCTGTGATACATCTCAACATCGTCTCAAGTTACAAGTAGGGCAGGGTGATTCATTGGACTAACTTGATAAACTTATCAGGTTTAGAGAACACGAGGCATAATATAATCAGTAGGTGGGTTTCTCCTGTACATGGGATTGAAGGAGCTTCTCTAGGGTGCATTATTCTGAAAAAGATGACCCCCTTCTGTGGTAAGGGAGGACTGGGTCATAAGGATGGCACACCCTCTGAAAGACATGAATGTTGGGTTCTACCCCACTAAATTTGTAAGAAATAAGGGTAATCTTTGTATGCTGAAATATCTAAAATGGTTTGGCAGAATATATCAAAACTATTCTCCTCTACAATATCATTAAAGTGGTTTTTTATAATTTCAAACATAACTTTGAAATTCATTTTTTTCATATTTTTATTGGTACATAATAGCTGTGTACAATGGCTGGATTTTTTGTTCCATATTCATACATACACAGAATATAATGATATACATTGAGCAATATAATTCCCTAGCATTTCCCCTTTCCCTTTCACCTCCTTTCTTCTCCTGTTCCTATTCTTCTACTCTAGTGATCTCCTTTTGATTCTCATGAGATCCCCTAAATTTGAATTTCCTTCAGTGGAATTTTTGGAAAGAAGAATACAGATAATTCACATGGAAAGTAGGGTTGACTTCAAGAGGCATGAGCTTTGTCCCCTAACAACCCTCCCTTGAAGACCTTTGTCCTGTGACATGAAAGTCAACCTGCTATTCCAAACCTGTACTTCAAAGCCCTCAGCACACACTGCAGGGTCCTGTGGAGTCACCCTGGGGAGCACAGGCACCAGGGTTTCAGTTCAATGATTCAGGTTTCACAGGGAGGATGAGTTTTGGTAAATTAGCTTAAGATTGAGGAAAGAAGCTGCATTGGCTGAAGTACATGTACAGATACACTTTCCTGAAAGTTTACATTCCATATTAAATTTTGAAAGCTACTTCTGTTCCTTCCTTTGGATCATTTCTGTGCATTTTATATCACTTTCCTTTGGATCTTTTTTGTTGTTGTTCATTTTAAATCATTTTATATTTTTCTGAAAATGTGATGAGAAGAACATGTAATGTTACCTTGTTTCAATGATATTTATCCTAGATTTCACTTATATAATACAGTTATCTTTATACACATGTCATCATAACTGTGTATTGTATAACTGTAATACCAAACTTTTCTCCTGGCAACAAAATTCTGCTAAGCTAAAATCAGGGTGTGTGTGTGTGTGTGTGTGTGTGTGTGTGTGTACATGTATATGTCTGTAATTTTTGACACTTCTATCCATAATTGTATAACACATTACAGAATTATGCACTGACTTTCAAGAATACATCTTTATGTTAAAATAGGTATTAAAACATTTTGGAGCCTTGAACAATAATTTGATGGCCTTTTCTGGAGCAATTGAAAAAAGGTGTACCTAGCCCACACTAGCTCACTGCAGAATTATTGTCAGAAGAAGAGAGGTGTTAGGACCAAGAGTGAATCTGAGTCAGTGTTTGTGTCTCATTTCCCAATCTGTATGTGTCACTGTGGAAATGGTTGCTGAACCACAGAGCACAGCAATATGTGGACTCATCCTCAGTCTGGGCCCCTAGGATGGTGAGGGCAGCCTTGCCTTTAAGCAGGAAGCCTGAGAAATGGGCAGGGACTCCTGGAACCCGATTACTGGTGCCACCTATTACACCCTGAGGTTCCTGGTAGGGCTTCTGTTGGATCCAGACTGCATAGTTACTCATGGTGACGGCACCAGTACTGGAGCCACAACTGAGTGTGACTGTCCCTCCTGGAGTTGTGGTCAGTGAAGTTTCCTGAGTCACCACAGCCTGGGAAGTGGAGCCTGAATACAGAGAGACCCAATGATCAGGAGAGGATTTGTGGCATTAAGATTTAGTGTTGCCTTCCTCACCCCAATTACAGCCCTGAAAGTTCCCCCTGACCTGTGCAGTGAGCCAGAAGTGTGAGCAGGAGAGGAGCCCAGGTCATGGTGCAGATAGGCCAGGGCTGAGCTTTTCAAGTCTGTTCATCACACGGGCAGTTCCACAGCTTTTATTATAACTCTTGACACCTGTTTGGTGGGGGATAGGGTGGAACTCTTATTTAAATGAGCTCCTCTCCAAGGGCAACTCAGCAAGTTCACAGCTACTGAGGTTCCATACACCAATGACCATTGTCCAGGTCCAGGGCGTGGAGGCCAATATTCCAGGTTCCAGCTGCCGTTTTATTATTTATTTATTTATGTGTTTGTTTTTAATAGATTGACCAACAGTGCCCTGGTATTTTCTAGAGGGCTTCAGCAATGGACTCTATACTCCATCAGGTCTTTCCCTATTTGTAACAAAAAGCCTGGTCTACATTGACTTCAGTGTAAAGGAGTGAATGAAAAAAGCATTACAAAATGGCAATGGATTACTGAATTAAACATGGGGAAGTGATTTGTGCTTCATTTATGTCTTCACCAAAAGAAGATGTCAGTGGTCATTGGAGAGGCAGTTGGGAGAAAACACCTATTGCTTCAAGACCAAGGTCCTTGCTCAGGGAACCTTGCCAGGCCAGAGAAGACACAGCTGGTGAGTTCTAACCAGTGAGAAAGGGGCTCAGCTCTCAGGCCAGGGATTCCTTCAACTGAACACTGTTTACTGAGCAGCTGGCAGTGTAGGAACCCCAGAGTAGTCCTGCACCTCCCCCTGCTGGTCACAGTTCATACACTAAGCCTGGCCTAGAGACTTATCAGCTTAGCTAGCTGGTTTGTTTTGTGCTACTCATCAGGTCACTGGCTCTATCCACATATTCCTAGTCTGATTCCTAAACATAGTGATTCTCATATTTTGTATGTGGTTACTGTAGTTTCTCACTATCAGAGGAGTTTTCTCTTCCATGGGGGTGTTTTCATGGTGCATTATGTCAACATGAACCTCTAACCAAGTCCTTCCCTGCCCGGTGCTTGGTCCTGATAGTTACACTGTCAGAAGTGGACCAGGGAGGCTGTGTGCTGTGGATTTGCCTCATGGGAGGAAGCAACTGCTCTAATATTGTTCATGGACTAGTAAGCAATGTCACGTGGTCCAGGACATTGATTACTTTATGTATCTTAATTTCTCTGAGAATATGCACAACTTTTCCTTTTGTCTTCATTGTCTGAAGGCATGTGATCTCAAACATTTAACAAATAACTGTTTTTTGTTTTTATGACATTGCCAGTATATTATCCAGTCTGACTCACATTTATTGCTTGTCTCTTCTTTGTTTTTTACTGTTCACACACATTTTTCTAGCATTAGTTGAAATCCTTCCCTAAGTGTAATGCAATTTCATGTTTGCATGGTCTTAACCTTACCTGCCTGTTTTGAATGAATAAAGACAATTGTTTTTATGACCACCTGATACATGTAGTTATCTATTTTGAATCTCATGTTGTATTTACATTTGGTTTAAGTGAGAATTATTTCAGTACTTTAGAGAATTAAAAAAAGAAAACGTTCAAAGATGTAGGGATAAAATTTTTATTGCCACTTCATTGTAACTTAAACTCTGTCTTACAAATGGCCAACTAAGTCTATGTGAGAAAGCCCTTCAAAACATTCTGACTGTCAAAATTGAGAAGCTTTCCTGGTAAAAATGTTCCATTGTGAGATCCTACATTATTTTCAGTAAGTGTTAGAATTCTCTAGCATTGCCCTCTCATTCCACTGGGAGAGGACAACTAGCTTCAGATTAGAGTTAGGAAGCATTTTGTCCTGTTAAGTTTGACAGGACTTTGGCCTTTGTAGGACTTGTGGCTTAATATGAGGTATCTTGGAAAATAACCCATGTTCATTTGAGGAGAATGTACCTAGGTTCATGTGGGTAAGGTGGGGTCAAAGGTGAGAAAACTCTCATATCAAGGAGAACACTGCCCATTCACTGGAGCAGGATCAGCAGTTTCCAAGCTGTCTGACTTGTGTCCCACCTGTCTGAATTGATCCTGAGACCCATTTACTGAAGAACATGTGGGAACTTAAACTGAATTGTCCACTCACTGGAAAACACATTTTGGCAATCTATACTAGAGTTGAAGGTGCATAATTTTAGAAAATTTATGTTGTACCAGGCTAGATAATCCATGTGATGTTAAGTAACAAATAACCACAAATCAGTTAATTAAAACTACCAGGCTAAATTTATGAGCTCAAGCTTGTCTGCTCATTCCCTTCATGTTTTCATTCCCTTCATGAAGACAATAAAAGGGCATTATGGGGATAATTCTCAATGAGGTGGTAGGAAGACAGACAAAGTTTACAAGGGTAGATATGGCTACTACTCCTGTTGTCCAGGAGTGGCACAGGCCAGTGATTACATTACGGGCGAATGCAAGGTAGTAAAAGAAGGCCACCTTCAAGGAGATACAGAATTCTATCTGCTGGTGAAAAGCACCCAAATATTGGGAAACAATGACACAATCTGTGCACTGTCCTGCTGTTGAGGAATGTTTACACAGACACTCTCAGGTTGCTCTTTGAAGCAGGACTTAAAGCTGGCTCTCTTCCCTGTAGTTCACAGCAGAGACAAAGTAAAAATCTCCACCTGAACTTGTCACACAGTGGATGGCTGTTCAAGGGACCTCTCAGTGAAGCTAGTTCCTTCCTCACTCAGGTCATACCCTAATTAGAGTCCCCCTTCTTTTCATATTTATCAGCATCTATCCTATACTGCCAGTTTGCATCCAGGGGATGAGTTCTATTGCTCTGAACGACTTGAGTGTTCTTTGTAAACATCGGGGGAAGCTCTTACCCAGCAGGGGATGACAACACTCAGAGCACATGATATTTCTTCCCAAAATGTATTTTCTGTCATGGGTGCTTCAGTCTTAATCTGTTTCATGCCACTGGGTAGATAACAAGGGACATTTCTCAGCTGCAGATCTTGGCCTTTTTTTTGCCATCCTATTTACATGGGCTGTAGGTCTTCTTGGAAAACAGAATGTCTGTCACATGGTGGATTATAACTACAGGAAACATCAGCTGTTATGCCATGTGGAGGGACACATTAATTAAAGCCACTGTTTAATTACCCCACCCATTTAATCTCAGAACTGATTTGGAGAGGCTACAGATAAGATAATCTACAAATAGTTCCCATGGAGAAAGTATAGTTGCAGACTTGGGCACAACTTGGAAATCTAACCTGTTTCCACCTGCCCCTGCACTGAATCCCCTTCTGCTTTCAATTGTTGTTCTCCGCACACATGGCTGCCCCTATTCTCTCCAGGATATTGCTCATGTCAGAGGGGCTCTATGAAAGTGCTGGAGATAGAGGAGTCCTTCCCTGTGGAAGAAAAAGTTTCACAGAGAGGATGCAGGAGGTGAGGCAATTTTCATAAAATTGAACTTCACAGACTATTACTTATTTAATATTATTTAAAAATTTAACAAGTTGCAAGCAGTGCTGAGCATACTTCAGAGGTAAAAGAAACAGTGCCAAGAGATCTCCATACTTTTAGGAACCCAAGAAAATATCTTAATTTATTGAATATCAGAAGTAACATGAATGTGATCCAGGCAAGATTACAGATAGATTACATCTATTCAGATGGGTTCATCAAATAAAATTTTAATACACATACATTATAGAGAAGGGCCCTCCAGGCAGAAGTGCTCAGGGACCGCAAATTTGAAGATGTGTCCTTTGTAGGATCACATACAGATCAACAAGGCATGTGAAGGTTTCTAAAGGAGTCTCCAGAGTGAAAGAAACCATTAAGATATGAAGTAACATAAACTGTATTATTCTGTTTAAAATCATAAAATAAAAGCTGATCCATTGTTATTTATGGTGGATAAGTGGTTACCTAGGATTCTACCATTGGCCTGGGTGGAGGGAGGGTTCCTAGGGGAAATAAGTAGGATTTCGGGTTAAGTGATGGGTTCAATGACCTGCTTTAGTGAGTTTTTCAAATGTATGTAAATATCTCAAAACACAGGAAATAGAGCACTTAAAATATTTGTGGTTTACTGTATGTCTATTACACTTCAATAAGAATTACATGAAAAGGGTAGGATAAAAATTTCAGAGATTCCCAGTGAGGACTAATGACAGAAGGACACAGTCCTGAATCTCCTGGATACAGGAAAAGTGAGGATGGTAGAGATGCAGTAATCTCCTCAGAATGATGTCTGAGATAGCCATGGCTGGACCAGTCACCTCAGCCACCAAACTTCATTGATGAGCAATTCTGTGTCCCATGTTGATGGAGATCAGAACTTGTTTTCTTGGAGACCCTTTAATAATGGCTGCTGTGAGTGATTATCATGAAAGAATAAGAGGAGGCTTCTCATCCTAGGAATTGTCAATGGATGTGCCCAGGTTCATGCTGGCAAAAGCCTCATAGAGAGCCTGAGTAGGATCTGGTATGTGTTCTCCTTCTGGCTGATGAGAAATGGTTCTTATCTTACTTCCTATTGACCCGGAGCTCATTGGGAGCATTGAGACTGCTGTCATAGGACTGACAGAGATAATGCACTGTCATGTGGGAGCCCAGTAAGGGTCAGAGAGGCAGAGTTGCCAGACTTAAAGGGTGAGGATATGAGGGAACCAACCTGTGGTGTAGGTCATCTCTGAGTTCTGTCTTCTGTGCCTCACAGCTGAGCAGAACTTTCCCCAAATACCTCACTTGCTGACTCCATACTGTGAGAAGAGGAATGTTCTATGCATGGACCCAAGTCTCCACATGAGACCCCCAACTTTCTTATCTTCAAACAATGCTTAACCTCAAATGAACCTAATATGTTATAATTATTGTGATCAACAATTCCAAATAAGAGTCTAAGGAAAAAAATATTATTTATATTCTAGAGTGCTTGCTTGCTATGAGGTATATTTAAAATTGAGAGAGAGATTCAAAATTTGCACTAAAATGAACACTCAGTATATTGGAAAAGAGAAATAAAAACTTTAGGTAAAGATGTGTGTGTGTATGTGTGTGTGTGTGTGTGTGTGTGTGTGTGCATTTATATGTATGCATTAGTGTATATGTATGTATATACACATATATATATCTTTATATATATCTTCATTTGTATATTTATTATATATATTTGTACACCTACATATATATACATATC